TTTTATTACAAAATCACAAAATCGACCACACATTTTTAGACTAGAGATCATAAAATATAACATATTGAGGCGCAATTCAAACTCTCAAAATCCCTGCTTATTAAATACTTAGCAAATTTAATTCAAAAAATTGTGAATGTGCAAATTTTTTCATTGTCGAGGTGAGACAGTTGCTTAAAGTTGGATTTAATATCCTGGCCGGTACACAAAAATGGCTTAAAGTGCTTTATTCCGTGTACAGGTTCGTACGTGAACGGGAACGATCGTTTCCGTTTAGAGATCGTTTCTCTTCAAGTAGAAAGAGAAGAAGACTGGATGGAAAAAATTTAGGTAAAAACAAGGTCAATGGGATAAGCATGAGAACGAAGGACTGTTAAAAGATTTGTATGCGGCAATAGAGATATTATAATATTATATATACATATGTATCAGAAACGTATATTAAATAAAAAACAAATGTTTTCTATTCGTTTCATGCTTTGTCTTTTAGCCACAGGGTGGATCCCCTTTGAACTATAGAGACGGGAAGCCGTAGAGCGCATTTTGGGTAAGATTCATCAGGATAATTTAATAGCCCGCAGTCTAAGTGTAAATTATGGAATGAACCGAAAATTCTCGCCTTTAGTTTTTGAAAACCTAAGTTTTTGCAACGCAGACAAGAAAACTGATTTGCACTCTTGGACATAAAATCCCAAGAAAGCGTTAAAGTTTAATGTAAAAACATAGTAAAAGCATGGGTACATTTTCAAGAAAGGTAGTTATCCCTTTTTCGACCTCTTGCTTCTCTACGTTTCTCCTGCTTTTCTCCATGTTAATTTAAGGAGCTGTTGCCGCGTAACATTTTTGAGGAGACAAAATGTTAATCTTGGGGGCTGCGCACCAGGCGGGCTCGTGCGATCATGCGTTTTTGCATTATTTTGTGCTGTAATAAAATCGTTTGAAATTCCAGTGAATAGAATTTTTTGATATACTGGTCCTCGAAGTTCAGGAAGTTAATTGTATAACTACGTGTTAATTGGACAGGGAGCATTTCGTTAAAATTTCAATCTTCCAGCTTTCCTTGTTCCCGAGTTAGCTATTTTCCCTCCAAAAGTTTCACAGGCTTGTACGTGAAAACCAAGCATGCCTAAAAAGCTGAATTTAAAA